CCCCATGCGGCTCAGTCCTACCTTCTCCTGGTACTGGCGCCGGGAGGAGTCCAGCGACTGGATGAGGGCGGTGGCGTGGCCGATGAACATGGCGTAGCAGGTGGCCCCCACGATCATGCTCAGCATGGTCAGCCAGATGTCCGTCATGCTCTCGGGCGCCTGCTTCCCGTAGCCGATGCAGAGCATGTGGCTCATGGACTTGAAGAGGGCGAAGGAGTACAGCTCACTCCAGGAGTCGTTCTGTGGTGACAGGGACATCAGCTCAGCCATGCACACACGTGTGTGTGTGTGTGTGTGTGTGTGAGCATCACCCGAGGGCCCAGCGCCCTGGCTCACGCCTGGCCAGTCACACTTCTCTCCCAGCAATAGGAATTTGTTGATGAGCAAACTTTTCCAACTTTCCAAAGTCCCCCGGCGAAGTAGGCAGGGAAGGAGAAGGGTGAGAGAGGCAGGGGAGGAAGAGGAGGAAGCCAGGCGGAACAGAGCAGAGATGGAAATTTGATGAAACAGGATGAGACAGACAGGGGAAAAGGGCTATTTGCAGGAGGCTGCAGGGCTGAGAGGGAGCAATTAGAAACAGGGACCATTATTTATTAATAGCAGCTTTGTGGCTAATGAGCAGGAGAAGGAGGCAGGGGATGGGGCCAAGAGCCCCATGTCAGCATATTCCTCCCACCCAGATCAATGCACTGCTCCAGGTCCTGTGAGACCTCACCCTGGCAGCAGTCAGAGCAGCATGGGGCCGGGTGCTCCGTGTGCTGTGGGGCACCACAGCCCTGACCCCCGGGGGAGATGGCATCTCCTGGGGCTGGAGGATGGAGGATGGATGATGTGGGGGTGGGTGGGAGCCCCGGGGAGCAGGCAGGAGCACGGTGTGGGGCAGATGGAACTCACCACCATCCCATTGATGGAGACCCAGCAGTTCTGGGGGAAATCCTGCAGCATGGGCACCAGGAACTGGAGGCAGCCGTCCCAGTGGCAGAGCAGCAGCATCATCCCGATGAGGTTGATGATCCTCATCACCGCGCTGGCCAGGTCGTAGGTCATGTGGAAGATCTGTGGGTGGGTGGGATGGCAGGAGGTGAGCGTGGGGACTGTCCCCCACAGCTCAGGGCACCGACCTGCATGGCCTTAGCTGGAAGAGGCTGGCCTGGCTCTGGCCTGGAGGTGTCTGTGCTCCACCTGCCTATTTATAGCTGGTGGGTGCCGCCGTGCTGCCGCCCGGGAAGTGCTAATGGCAGCGAGCCTTGGTGAGGATCAGGGAGACACAAATACTCTGGGCACTGAGCAGGGCAGCTCCCAGTGCAGGGTGTGGGCCAGAGCTACACAGCAAAGCTGAACATGTCCCCTCAAAGCAGGGTAGGTCCTCAAAGATGGGGACCCCAAAGGGCTTGGGGGTCCTGCTGTCCTCCCCAGTGCTCCCCGAGCTCCTGGTGGGGTAGGGAGCCAGAGGGGAGAGGCAGGAGGTGCTGAGCTGAGCAGGGGGACAGGATCCTACTGCTGGCAGAGCAGGGGTGGGTGCTATATCACAGCTCAGGGATGCCCCAAACCCTGCAGGGTGGGTCACAGCCACCCACCAGCCCCACAAACAGCCCCACAGATCCTCTCCACCCCGCCGGTTT